TCTTGGGGGCGGTGTTTGAGCCCCCTGGCAGTCTCTTGGGGGCCTCTTGGGGGCTTCTCGGGGGCCTCTCGGGGGCCGCGGCCCGAAACTCGACCACACGCACAGTCATTTCGCATAGTAAGGATGAGCGACTTTCCAAGGCTACCCTTCGATCCTTGTCTTTTCGGCCCATCCTTGGCAACTTTCGCGTGCCAGACTTGTGCGAAAAAGGTTACCATGGCCCTCCAAGGCCTTTGCATCCTTACAGCGCATCTTTATCATACGGGTGGGCTGTAGGAGTGACCCTAGACTAGAGTGACCTTTCGTGCGCGGCTTCAGGGGCGCCCGTTGGAGGCCCAGCGCAACCGCGCAGGCCGCTGCTGTCGCACCACATCAACGACCCGCGGGACGTACCTCGAAACGATCCTCAGCTCAGAGGAGGAGGAGGAAAAGGTACCCATATCGCCACCCATGGCTGGTTTCCCCTTTTTCGGTCTCCTGGGAGGCCCTCGTCGCCACCGCTGGGTTCGCCTCGAAGCCCTGGTCAGAACGCGCCTCGGGGGGAGTAGCAGTATCTGTACCTGTTTCGGGGGCGGAAAAGAGGGGGGCGATGACTAGGGGGGGGTGGATATCATGGCGGGGGCCATGATTTTTCCCCAGATCTCGTGGCGCCTCTTCTCATTTCATTACGTGCCTGGCCCCCCCGCTGGGCCGCGCACATGCCGCCGGTCATGATCTGGACCCCCCCCTTTTGGACAATCCCCTCCTGGCCGCTCCCGACTGTTGGTCTCCCCAGAGAGGTTCTGAGCGCTGGCGGGCAGCCGTGGAAGTCTAGGCCTCTTATCAGATGGGGTCGGATGTGTGGGCGCATTCCTCCCCCCTCCCTTTCACGAACCTCTCCTGCTCCACCTCTGTGGGAAAAAAACACACAAACAAGAACACACAAAAACACACACACACACACATACACACACGCACACACACACACAAAAAAAAAACATACACAAAACATACAAATACACAGTGAGTGTGTGTTTTCCCACAGTGTTTTTTTTTTTGCTCCACGTCCTCCGCCTTCTCATCTTGCGCCGCCTTTGAATCCGCCGTTGCATCGTGCTTCCAGGTTACCCTGCGCAGGAAACAAAAACGGGCACGCTGGAAACTCATGGAAACCAGGACACTTCGGAATTTGGGCCATAGGCCCTTCCAAATGTTGTAATCAGGACTGAGGACGGAGGGCTCAAGGGACCTCAGGACACCCCAATTCGTGCCTGAGAGCACGGTGGCGGATATCTACTACAGGGAGAGAGAGAGAGAAGACAGACAGAAAGACAGACAGACAGACAGACAGACAGACAGACAGGCAGGCAGGCAGGCAGGCAGGCAGGCAGGCAGGTAGGCAGGCAGGGAGGCAGTGAGGGAGGGACCGAGAGACAGAGAGAGAGAGGGAGAGATAATCACCAACATAAGCAACACTTATACATGCATATGTATATATATATATATATATATATATATATACATATACACACATACAACATGAATCTACACATGTGGATTCCTTCTCCAATCATAGAATACCTGGGGATGGCCCCCACCTCGTCAGCCCCCACACCGACCACAAATGCCCCAAGAAGTTTCGGAACAGCTCCTGGATAATTCAAGAGGTTCCGAGACGGCATCAAAGCGCCCCGAGACGCCCCAAGGTGGCCTCAAACCGGCCCCGGAAGCTCCCAATACGCTTCAAGAGCGCTCTAACGGGACCTCTTGGAGAGCCCCAAGAAGCCAACAATTACAATTTTGCTTGCAAAGCTTACATTTTATGCATATGCGCTGCTTGGGTGCTCCCAGCGGTCACGGCGGCTCCATTGCCTTGCAATGTTTTAGCACAGGCTCCACTCGAGTCCAAGAGGCGCCCAAGAGATCCCAATACGGACCCAGGAGACGCACAAAGGGCCCAAGACGGCCCTGGGAGATGCCCAAGACGGCCCCAGGAAGTTTCAAGACGGCCCCAAGCGCCCACGACAGCCCAAGAAAACCCTCAAACCGTCCTGGAAGTCTCCGAGGCGCCCCACAAAAGGCTCCAAGAGACTTCCAAAAGTCCCCCAACGCTTCACAGAGTTTTGCGGAACCCGCCCGAGAGATTTCCCAGCGATTCCTACACAAACCCAGCGATTCCCCGAGACGCCCCAAGATGGCCTCAAACCGGCCCCGGAGGCTCCCAGTACGCTTCAAGAGCGCTCTAACTGGACCTCCTAAAGAGCTCCGAGAAGCCAACAATTGTCCCACTCCGTTCGCAAAGCGTACATTTTATGCTCATGCGCTGCTTGGGTGCTCCGGCCACGGCAGCCCCACTGCCTTCCAATGTTTTAGCACAGGCTCCACTCGAGTCCAAGAGGCGCCCAAGAGATCCCAATACGGACCCAGGAGACGCCTAAAGGGCCCGAGACGGCCCCGGGAGACGCCGCAGACGGCCCAGGTAGCTTCCAAGACGGCCCCAAGCGCCCACGACGGCCCAAGAAAGCTTCAAAAACGTCCTGGAAGTCTCCTTGGCGCCCCACAGAAGGCTCCAATACCCTTCCGTTAGGCCCCCAACGCTTCACAGAGTTTTGCCGAACATGCCCAAGAGACTTCCAGCGACAGCCAGGGGTTCTTGTTGGGACTTCGCCTTGCCGTCGCCCCCCTACTTGACCTTACCCGCGCCTGCCGCTCTTTCAGCGCCTCGTTCCAGAGTGAGCCTTCTCGGGAGAGCCAGGGCTAATTTTGTTTGGACTTCGCCTTGGCGTCGCCCCCGTATGACACAACCCGTGCCTGCCAGAAAATACGCCGGTCTCTTTCTCCATTTGTCCTGTCGCCCGAAGCCCCCCGAGAACGCCTCCGTTCCTCCGAGGACGCCCCCAGAACTTTCGCGGCCTCCATGTCCTAGCCGTTTCCCTTAAGCACACCCCCAGCTCACCCCAGAAACCTTAAGCGAGGGCCTGCCCTAGCCAGACCCCGTTCCTACGCCTTTCCTGTGCGCCTCCCCATCGGCTTCCTCCTTGAACCCGCCACTCTGCCTACCCTGGGCTTACCTTGAGCCCTCAAACTCATACACAGGCATGCTCTAGGCTTCCCTAGGTTGCCCCGCGGACCAACCCCGAGGCTCACCCCTACAACTTTGGGCTTGCGCAGCCCTGCTCCTAGGCTCTTCTTCAGGCCTAACACGTCGACATACGGTAGCCTTACCCTAGGCGTTTTCCCTAAGCTGACCCTCGGATTACCCCATAAACCTGAAGTTCGGGCTTGCGGGAGGCCGCCCGCATTCCCAGCCCTTTCTGGTGCGCCTCCCCGCTAGGCCTCCCCTTGGTCCCGCCCTTTTGCCAACCCTGGGCTTACCTTCAGGCATTTCCCGTGGGTTTGGCCAGGCTTGCCCCTCGGGCGCACCCCGAAGTTTCTCTCAGCGAGATGTTCCGCGATAGTACCCTTGTAGTCCATACTCAGCTAATTGGACCATTTCAGGGGCTGTTGTGAACTTCTTTTTTTGGCCAGCTTCAGGGGCAGCTTCTGCTGCTGCTGTTCCTCGTCGTCGTCGTCGTCGTCCTCCTCCTCCTCCTCCTCGTCCTCCTCCTCGTCCTGTGGCAGGTCCGGGGTCAACTAAGTTGACCCCGGACCTGCCACAGCTCTACCCCAAGACTGTTCGCTGGGGTCCCTGGGCCTCCTGCTGGACCTTTCCCGCGGGCCAGCCCCGAGAGCCTCTCGGAGCGCTTGCCCTCGGCGTTCGCCCAGGCGTTCACTGGGCTAGTGCCTCGCCCTAGCTCGGGAGCGGAAAAGAGGGGGGTGATGACTGGGGGGGGGGGGGATATCATGGCGCGGGCTATGATTTTTCCTCAGATCTCATGGCGCCTCTTCTTGTTTTATTACGTCCCAGGCCCCCCCGCTGGGCCGCGCACATGCCGCCCGTCATGATCTGCACCCCCCCCTCTTGGACACCCCCCTCTCTGCCGCTCCCGACTAGCGCTACCGATTCGTCAACAAGACATGCTCCCAGAGATTGCACAACCCTGACCTGCCATAGACCCACCCCTGCCCGTCCCTTCGGATCCATTGGCCTCCCGCGAGGGCCTGCCCGTGGTCCTACCCCGAAGGCCGCTCCGTGCGCTGATCCTGGGTTTTCGCCTGGTCCTACTTAAGGCTTACGCCTAGAGCTTCTCCCTCGAGCTTCCGACTCTTCCAAGACATGCTTCAAGAGACTCAAGATCTCGCGAGACCACCGCCAGGTCCATTGAGACACACGAGCGGGGAGGGGGACTTCGCACAGAGACCAGACGTTGTTGGGAGGGCGTCTGCATCTCAGGCACCATCTTCACATTGACATGTGCTTTCGTCAGTGGACTAACCTTGACTCGGCGCGTTCAGCGCGCCTTTGAAACCTTATCTTTTAGATACAAGCACATCTATATACAGTGGGAGAGATAGGGGGAGAGATGGAGGGATAACTATTGATAAAGAGAGCCTGCTGAGGAGGGAGGAGAGATGACAAGTCGGAGTAGAGTAGGAGGAGGTCAAGCCAACCTAGTCCCGTAATGTGTCCCGACGGTTAGGCTAACCCGAAACCGCTGTTACGGAACCCCCACCACCCCTCCGGTGAAGTGATCACGCATCCAGCACCCAGAAGTGTTATCCTGGCACCCTGACGAGGACGAGAAGGAGGAGGAGGAGGAGGAGGAGGAGGAGGACAGGGAGCACGAGGACACGGAGAAGGGAGAACCATGTACATATGATTCTATATATGCTGCTTGGTGCGGTGCTAAAGATATCGCTCCGCTACACCCGCACCGCGAATTATTTATTTTCGTTTCGGTTCTCACGATAACCAGAGGGTGTTCGTTAATGGCTTCCCACGGTTACTTCTTGACATGCGCAAGGATTTAGTACCGACGGTCGTTCTCGCCTCTTTCACCTTCACCATCCTTCCTCCCTCCTTCTCCTTGTGCTCGTCCGCCACTCTCCCTCCCCCATCCTCCTCCTGCCTCTGCCGAGCAAGGCGTCTTTAGCTTCATCTGCGTCGACAATGGCCTCAAGGTCGGCGACCGCGGCGAGTGCGCGGGTCAGGAAGACGGCGACTGGGGCCTGGAGGAGGACACCATTCCCCTCGCGTGCATGCTCAGAACTATGTCTTTCTATCCGTGGCCCCAGACCTCTCGATTCCGTTCCTATGGGTAGTTGTGCGCCCCATAGATCCATTTTGGGTGGCCCCGGGGCTCGAAAACGCGACCCAGAGGGCCCTGATGAAGGCATCGTACCGCTGGAGAGTTGGGTTCCTTTTTTTCTCCCGCGCGGAGCGCGCCAGGGGCGGCGCCAGAGGCGCCGCCAGGGGGGCCCAGCCCCAGTCCGAGAAATCCGCGCGGACCTCCGACAGTTTGTGTTGATGACGGCTTTCCCCCGATGTCTGGGCGGGGAAGACCAGCGGCGGGCCCAGGAGGAATGCAGATCGGGGGCGGAAAAGAGGGGGGTGATGACTGGGGGGAGTGGATATCATGGCGGGGGCCATGATATTTCCCCAGATCTCGTGGCGCCTCTTCTTATTTCATTGCGTCCCTGGCCCCCCCCGCTGGGCCGCGCACATGCCGCCGGTCATGATTTGCACCCCCCCCTCTTGGACACCCCCCTCTTGGCCGCTCCCGATGGGGGCTGCGCATTGAAAACAGGAAAAGGTCGCACGTCTGGGGGTGATCATCGAGGACGAAAGATCCCCTAGCACTGATATCGCTAGGAAGACGTGGTCGCACCTCGGTCCCCGCCGGTGCCTTCTACGGATACTAGATTTGGACGGTCGGGCCCGATACACCTGGGCCGGCACTGAAACGGAAAGAGCGCTTCAACAATTGGACCGAAATTACTCACACCACCGTTCGTATTTGGAGCCTTGGCGTTGAGAGCTTGTTACGTCACCCCGCGCTCTTGGGAGCCTTGGTGTTCAGAGATTGTTGCGTTGCCGCCCGTTCCTGAGCCTTGGCTGGGCCTTGTTACGTCACCGCTCTCTGCTGGGAGCCTTGGTCTTATGAGCTTGTTTACGTCACCGTTCGCTCTTGGGAGCCTTGGTATGAAGAGCATTTTGCGGTACCGATCGCTCTTTATTTGGCTTCTCCGAGCCTTCTTGGGGCCCTCTTGGGCTCTCTTAGAGCCCTCGGGGCCCTCTTGGCCGTATTGGGGCCGACTGGGGGCCATCTGGGGCCGTTGTGGGCCCCTTTGGGGCGCCTCGGGGGCCGTCTTGGGATGATCTTTGGGGCCTCTTAGGCCGTCTTGGGCCTGTCTGGGGGCCCTCGGGGACCGTTTCGGGCCCGTTTGGGGCGCACGGTCTTGGGACGATATTTGGGACCTCTGGGCCGTCTTGGGCCCGTCTGGAACCGTTTTGGGCCCATTTGGGGCGCCTCGGGGGCTGTCTGGGGACGCTCTTTGGGGCCTCTTGGGCCGTCTGGGTCTTTTCTGGGACGGAAAAGGGGAGAGCCCGAAAACCCTGCAAAAATCATAGAACAATTAAAGTTTTCCGCCTCCTGAGGCCCTCTTGGGGGCCCTCTGGAGGGCCTCTGGGGCCGTCTCGAGACCCTCTTGGACCGTCCAGCGGCCATCTGAAATTCTCCTGGGGCCGTCTTGGGGCCCTCTTGGGCCGTCTTGGGGCCCTTGGGCCGCTTCACCTGGAAAAATACAACAACAACAAAAAAGACGGGCCATGGGAGCCGCCCGGGAGCCGCTTGACTCGACAAAAATACGAGGGAGACGGGCTATTAGATCATACGTCTGGGCCTCGCACCCCCCCTGGACCCCCCCTAAGAAGGGCTTCGCCCCAACTCAACGTCACTCGCTCGTACCTCGCTCTTTCCGTCATCTGCAGGAGAGACCCCTTATCCCTAATGTTTTTAACCCTCTCAACTTAGGTCCCCTCCCAAAGGGTTAGGGGTCCTGTTCTGGTGTATCACTTCCGGGAACGCTCTCATCTCAGGTCTCCCTCAGAGCGGCCTGGAGTGCGCTGCAGTGGCCGCGGCGCCCGCCACGTCCTCCCGAGAAGTGCCCGATCTCGGAGGTCGCCGCTTCTTCCCCGTCCGATTTTGGCCTGGCCCTGACTTCGTCTTTTGGCGGGGAGGACCGCCGCAGGACCCGGGCGGGGTGGGATATCGCGACCGAGATTTTTCTGCGAAGGCTTGACGGCCGGCGCCGCCGACCCTGAAGGGAGACGACGACGGCGACGACGGCGACGACGACGGCGACGATGACGACGACGACGACGACGACGACGACGACGACGACGACGACGACGACGACGACGACGGTGACGACGGCGACGGCGACGACGACGGCGACGACGGCGACGACGGCGACGACGACGACGACGACGGCGGCGTCGGCGGATGCGGCGGCGGCGGCGGCAGAGGCGGAGGCGGCGGCGGCGGCGGCGAACACCATTCCAAAACAGGAGGAAGATCATTGAATGTATCTTCGGGGGGTTCTCGTTGGAGTGCTCCTAGGGCTCTCTTGGGAGCTTCTTGGGCGTCTCTTCGGGCCCCTTGAGGGTCTCTTGGGCCGTCTCGGGGGCCTGCTGGACGGTCTCGGGGCCGTCCTGGGCAGTTTCCGGTCGCTTGCGGCAGCCTCGCGGGCCGTCGCTGGGCGATCTTGGTGGCTGCCTGGCTCGCCTGGGAGCGTCGTGTGGGCTCCTGAGGCCGTCTTGAGGGAATCTTGGGCCGTCTTGACAGGGCGCTCTTGGAGCAAGCCGCGTTGGTGAGCTCGAGGCACTGGAGAGGCAGGAGGTCGACGGGGAGAACTTCTCCCGGGGACTGGTGCTCCCCTCGGGGGGCGCGCGGGGGCGATCCCAGGGTATGTGACCCCCCCCTTCACGGGGAGGGAATGTTTTCTGGTTCGGGACCTCCCCTGAACCTCCCCCCCCCCCCTCTGGCGGGGAATCGATGGAATGGAAGGAGCTTCTACATTCCTCTTCGGTTGAAGTGTTACTCCGGATTCCATAACAACGTGGGGGGGGTCACATTCGGGGGGAGGGTCTAATTTGAGCTGTCTTGGAGAGTTCGGGGGGGTCTGGGCAAAGTGCCGCCCTTTCATGGATGGTCTGGGGGGTCTAAAACTTGCGGTCTGGGAGGTTTGTGACCTCCTCCCTTTTATTACGACATCTGGAGTACATGTCTACGACACGTCTCGCACGCTGGTGCGAGGATCTGAAACTGCCCCCCCCCCCCCCCGACGGGGAGGGAGTGCATTCTGACCTCGTCGGGGGGTCGCGGTGCTGGTTGCACAGCCAGCCTTGTACCCGAGCCTTGGGGTACCGTCGAGCTGGAGGGATCTCAGGGTACTCGAGCACGGGGGTGGACGCACTGCGTCGGCAGCGCACTGGCTGCCCCGTCGCCCCCGCTCGATAGCACAGTGTCGAGCGGGGTGACGCCTCACCCCCTGCGCTTTCGCGCTCTCCCGTTTTCTGTTATATATGTATATATATATACATATATGTATATATATATATATATATAACAAAAAAGGCCTTCGGTCGTCTTCAGGCTTTGGACTGTCTTGGGTGTTCTTGAGGGTCGTGGGTAGACAGAACCCCCAACAGTGACATGTCGATTAGTGATGTGTCCGGTTTCGGCTCTCGAGATGGCGCCGTGGCCGTTATTTTCCAGGCTTGCGCCCGCCAGGTTTGGGCCTCGGGTCGTTTTCACTAAACCACGTTTTACTAAAGGGGGGTCTGCCCATCCCCGAGAGGGGTTGTTCTGGAGCCACCTCAGAAAGCATCTCGGGACCTTGGCGGCCACGGGGGGCGGATTTGCGGGCTCCAGGGGTGTGCCTGGGAGCCCAGGGGCCCCTCCCCTCTCGCCCTCGCAAAAACACTATGTGAGGCCTTTGGGGGGGGGGGTCACGGGGGAAGGGGGGCAGGCAGATGTCTCACGCGCCTCGCCACCCCCAGCCAGCGGGGGTCCGCAGATGTCCGTGTCCAGTGCGTCTTGGTGTTTCGGCTTCTCTCCCCCAAAACCCCGAGACGCAATGAAGCGCGGCCCCCGAGGAGGCCACGCGTCGTCCACGCCCACTGCGTCTCGGGTTTTGTGGCATCCCCTCCTCGTAAGCCCAAGCCCGAGACGCCGTGGATGTGGTTCAGATCCAGGCCTCGGAAGACATCAGCGAACACTCATGGCGCATGAATAGGTCAATACGCCCCCAATGATCAGTGTTGGCGGTGGGTTGAATGAGCCGCACTTCGACCGCAGTCTTCCCCGCGCGTGCTAACTTTGAGTTTGGGGGAGCGGAGGAGTATCCACTAATTGTTTCCCTCTACCATCGCGCCCGCAGCGAGGGTGGTGGGGGGTAGGGGGGCAGAGCGAGGAGAAGGAGGAGCGAGGAGACGGAGGATTCAGGAGGGACGAGGAGGAGGAGGAGCGAGAGAAGGAGGATCCAGGAGGGAGGAGGAGGAGGAGGAGGAGCGAGGAGGAGCGAGGAGGAGGAGCGAGGAGAAGCCAGGAGGAGCGAGGAGGAGCGAGGAGGACGAGGAGGAGGAAGAGGAGGAGGAGGAGCGAGGAGGAGGAGGAGGAGGAGGAGGAAGGAGGAGGAGCGAGGAGGAGGAGGACGAGGAGGAGGAAGAGGATGAGGAGGAGCGAGGAGGGGAGGAGGGAGGAGCGAGGAGCGAGGAGGAGGAGGAGGAGGAGGAGGAGGAGGAGGAGGAGGAGGAGGAAGAGGAGGAGGAGGAGGAGGAGGAGGGAGGAGACGTCTTGGGGCGGGGGGGGGCGGGCGGAGGAGTATCGCCGGCGCGCGGCGGGCGCCGACGGCCTCGGGCAGAGCCCAAGGGGCTCCTCGGGCGGGGCCCCGCCGCGCGCCGCGCGGGCGGGGCCCCGTCGCCGCGGCGCCGCGCGGCGGCGCGAAGGGTCTCCCCGATGCGTGAGCGTGCCGTGCAAAAAAAACAGGGTCGGGGGCGGACAGACCTCCTGCCCTGCCAGGTTTTCCTTCTGTTTTCGATCGGACATCGAAGTTTAACTTGTGGGAAAAGGGGGCCTCGTTCCGTATTTAGGGTTCCTTGGGTCAAGGCCCCGACTGTATGTTTTTTCCGTGGCGCCAGGATCTGAGAGGAGAGGCTCCGGCACCAGCGGGAACTGGTCCGCAGGCGTGCGAGGTCTGAGTCGACATAGGTCGGGGGTGGACAGAACCCCCAACAGCGACACGCCGATTTGTGAATTGTCCGTTTTCGGTTCTCGAGAGGGCGCCGTGGCCGCTATTTTCCAGGCTTGCGCCCGCCAGGTTTGGGCCCGAGGTCGTTTTCACTAAACCACTTTTTGCTAAAGGGAGGTCTGTCCATCCCCGAATAGGGGGGGATGGGTTCTGAGGGAGACGGGTCCTGCAGTCGGGCTTGATGCGACCCTGCAAGATCAAGGGTACCCTTCTGTTCGGGGATGGACAGACCTCCTACCCTGACACGTCGATCAAGGAATCGGCCGTTTTCGGTTCGCGAGAGGGCGTCGCGGCCGCCATGTTTTGCGGGTCCAGGTCCGTCGGTTTCGGCCCCAGGCCGTTTTCACCAAGGGGAGGTTTACTAAAGGGAGGTTTGTCCACCGCCGACAGGACGGCAGGTTTTTGGCCACCTTCGGCCTCGGGGGGGCCTCGCCGGGCCCCGGGACCGTCAACGAAAACGAGTCCGGATGAAGAACGGGTCCCGGGGAACGGCTCGGGATCTCCAGGGGCCCTGCGTGGGGGGGGGGGAGATGCGGCACCAGCTCCACCAGGGGGAACACCTCCAGCGAGGCGGTGCACGATGCCTCCCCGAGCTGGACGCTGGGGCCGTCTCGAGCGAGAGTGGGGGAGGGGGCAACGCACCACCGGGGAGATCCTCGTGGCTCCTCGCACCTCCCCGCCCTGGTGGTGTTGGTGTCGCCGTCCCTTGTTCCTAGAAGCCGGGGCCAGGAAGCTTCTAGACCTCCCAGATGGGGTCGGAGTAGATGGGGTCGGAGGCTCGCACCGCATCGCCGATGCATCGGCGATGCATCGGCGATGCATTGGCGATGCGGCTCGATGTGGAGACTGTGTTTCCCCACGCCGACGTCGCCGATGCAGCGCCGATGCAATGCCGATGCATCGGCGATGCATTGGCGATGCGGCGCGATCCCTCGACCCCCTCTACTCGGACCCCATCTAGGAGGCCTCTAAAGCTGTCCACTACATCATGTGACTTAGTGGCAAGTGGCGGCCGGGGCAGTGCATCCACCATTCTGGACGCCCGAAATGGGTACGGAAAGAATGGGCACAATGCCCCACAGCAGTGCCTGTTCATTCAGAACAGGGCTCGCTGTCCGCGCCGCCGCGGCCTGCGTCCATTCGGGACAGAGGACCGCCCGCTCAACAGCGGCTGCCGTTGGTTTGGGGCAACAGTTGCTGCTGGGCACTGTACCCATTCTTTCCGTACCCACTTCGGGCGTCCAAAATCATGTTCCAGGGTCGTCGCCAGCGGAATCCGCCAGACAGGTGCACAGGGCAAGTTGTCCGACGGCGTTTCTGCGAGGCCTCGGGCGAGAAAGGGCCCAGCTACCCGAGTGCAGATCGCTGCGGTCTCCCCAGCAGGCGTGGCCCTTGGCAGGAGAGGCCCTCCCCGTGCTGGCCCAGGGGAGCGAGCAGCATCATTCAAGCAGCGGCGAAGCGTCCTGGCTCGCTTATAGCCCCACCAAGCCATGTTCTAAGAACCTCGTGTGGTTTCCACGAAACGTTCTTAGAGCATTTCTGGCGGAGCCCGTCTTGTTTTATCACATCGGGTTCATGTTCTAAGAACACCGTGCTTGTTATTAGAACATGTGTGGGCTCTAAGAACATTTCGTGGTATGACGATAGGAATGCTGGGACGGTCGGTCCCTGCTCAAATCATAAGCATCCAAGTCTTTGAGGTCCGCCGGCGCCGATCCGAAGAAGTCCGTGCGGACCTCCGAAAGCTGTGTGTATATGTCATGGTTTGTTCCCCGAAGGAAGGAACCCAAATCTCCTACGATCTGATGCCTTCATAGGGGCCCTCTGGGTCGCCGATGCGATGAGTCCGAGCGGACCTCCGAAGCTTTGCGTTCATGTCATTGCTTGCTCGCCCAGAGCGGAGCCCCCGCATCTATCTTGCGCGCGAAGACCTGGCCGCTCCCAGGCCTCCTAGTAGAGTTGCGCACCAGCAAGGGTCACTCGTCGCCTAGGGTCGCTCCTGCGCGTAGCCGATGCCGCGTGGAGGACACCGACGCGTGCGCCGGGGTGGCCTCCGAGGAGCCCTGCAAGGAGCCCAAGGCGCAGAATCCCGGGTCCTGCAGGGGAGGGTGGGGCAGGGGGCGCGAGGTGCGGGAGGGAGGGGGGGAGGGGAGGAGGAGGAGGAGGAGGAGGAGGAGGAGGAGGAGGAGGACCAGTGTAAACCTAAGAAGCATCAAGGATGTTGGAACAAACCCTCCCTCGAAGTTCCCTTTTCGTGGGCCCCTACAACGGTTTGTTTTTACTGCGGGATCTGCTTCGTTGGAAGACAACTGTTTGAAGACCCTGAAGCATGCCAAAACATTGTTCTCGGGATTCCAACGCCACTGATGAACTTGACTGTTGCGTCTGGAAGATCTTGATTCCTGCCAGAATGCCATTCCTGGGACTTGAACACCGCGAGCCGCGCGGCGCTTCGGCGAGAGCCACATGTTGAGAAGGGACCGCCCTCAATCCGTGGAGTCTGCGCGGCGCAAAGGCGAGAGCCACATGTTGCATACAAAGTTGTAAGACGAATGTGCGCGGCGCTAAGGCGAGAGCCACAATATGAAAACCACTCGCCCTCAATCCGTGAAACTCTTGCAATGTTTGAAAACAAATCTTCGCGGCGCTGAGGCGGGAGCCACATTTTGAAAACGGCCCGCCCTCCATCTGTGAACATGTTGTCAATTTTGAAGCGTCAGAGTCATAGATAGTGAGGAAGTCTCAGGCGAAACGCCCGGCCTGCCCTAAAAACTGGCCTCGGGGTGCGACAGGGAGAAGTGATTTATCAGAAGAAGGAATGGAGGAGCAGGAGTACCAATGCCGTTATCTGTTTTCTTCTTGCATGGGCTCCTTAATGATTGACACACATAGCTTGAGCGTGAGGAGGTGGAGGACCAGTGTACACCCAAGGCACATCAATGGTGTTGCAATAAACCCTTGCAGGTCCCTGCAATCATTGATTTTCATAGCGGGAAGTGCCCCAGTGAAAGACAATCCTCCCGGATAATCCTGAAATTCCGGCGCCGCGAGTCAAGCTGACGTGCTGCGTTTTGACAGTCCCAGATCGTTCCAGGACCGCTCCTTGGAGGTCGGCGCAGCGAGTGAACATGATTGTTACGCCCAGACAACCCCTAATCGTGGTAGAACGCCAGCTTTGGGACTTAACCATCCAGTGCCGTTTTTGATACATGCTCCGCATGCGGATCATGTACTAACAATGCAGGGATGTAGTATTAAAAACAACGATGAGTTCATGCATACATTTATCCATACATGAATCATGTAATAAAATCGTATATTTCAAAAGGAAACCATCCTATGTATAAAAAAAAACCTGCCCTGTACATACGACCCCTTGAGAAACGATTCCAACTTTCACGACGAGCGCGCGCGGCGCCGAGCAGAGCAGACGTCTGGAACAACAGGGGCCCGCCCTCCCTCCGCGGAGCTGCTGCACACACTTCCGAGGACACTGCGCGCGCGGCGCCAACGGCGAGAGCCGCACCTTGACAGCCTCCCGTCCTCGGTCCGCGAACTTGCTGCAATGTTTTCAGGAGGGGAAAAAACACACAGACACAATTAATCGGCGATTCCCAGAAAATATAGGAAAATATGGGAAGTGGGGGGGAAGACAGAAACCCAGAAAATATGGGAAAATATGGGGGATATTTTTATTTGTGTGTATTTATTTGTGTGTCCTAATTTCCCTTTATGTTTGTCAGACGAATGCGCGCGGCGCAGAGGCGACAGCCCCATTAAGAAAAAAAGGGCTCGCCCTCCCTCCGCGAAGCCCCTTCCAACTTTTGAGAGGCGAGGGCGCCTGTTGAGGGAGCAGAAGAGGCCCCCGAGGCCAGACGACGGGAGGACCAGAACCAACAAAAAGGGGGGGAAGAGGCTTCCGGAGGTTGTCAGGAAGGCCTCGAGGCGGCCTGGCTGGGTCCTGGCACAGGCCGAAGCCGCTTGCAGGGATCGCGAGCCCACGCAGCGGTGGCTCACGCTGGAGACGTCCTCGCTCCTCGCCCCCCCCCCACCCATCCGCTGCCGCTTCTCTTCCTCTTCCTCCTCCTCTTCCTGCTCCGCCTCCGTCTCCTCCTCCTCCTCCTTCTCCTCCTCGTCCCCCTCCTCCTCGTCCCCCTCCTCCTCCTCCTCCTCCTCCTCCTCCTTCTCCTCTTTCTCTTACTCCTCATTCTCCTCCTCCTCCTCCTCCTCCTCCTCCTCCTCCTCCAGGTCGGACGCCCAGGCGTGGGTCACGCTGGAGAAGAAGGCCAAGGGGCGAAGGGATCTGCATACTTACGGCGGCCCTCCGGAAAAACGGGGAGGTCTTCCCCGTGTCGGCTCGGAGGAGTTGTCATCATGTCGGGCATGTTCCCGGGGGAATATTTCCGAATAGTAGAAAAATAGTCTGGAGACGAGCGTTCTGGAACAATGTTTGAGTTTATTTTTGACTACTTTCCATCTTTGGTCGGACATCCTCTGTAGGAGGACATGCCCGATCTAAAGTTGGCATCCTCTTCTTCGGCGCAGGAGGCTGCGGAAGGGAGGTGGAAGCCGGCAGAAGTAGAAGAAGCCTAGGAGAACGAATAATGACATAAACAGAACAAGTCTGAGGTCCGCGCGGATTTCTCGGATCCGCGCTGGACCTCCTTGGCGGCGCCTCCAGCGCCGCTCCTGGCGCGCTCGGGTCCAGCGCCTGTTTGAGACATCCGCTCGGACCTCCGAGTTGTTCGTTTATATAATTGTTCGTTCCCCTAGAGGCGGCTCCGACAGCGGATGCCGGCGGAAAGCCGACGGAGGCCAGCGGGAGCAGAAGTCGCCCTCCGAAGAGATGGCAAGGTTTTGCCTGGCCCGGTTTTCCGGAGCCCGCCTCACATCCATCGCCCTTTACCATGCGCACCCTGGGCTCAGGAGCGCCCCCCACCCCGTGGCTTGGTCGGACAGGGCACATCCGCCCGGGCATCCGACGACGTGTTTTTCGTTCTATCTGCGGCCCTGGGCATCCCGATCCTTTCCCCGAGGGGAGCGCTTCGCCCTGGGTCGGTCGATGCTGGCCCCGGGGCCCGACGACGGGCCCCAGGAGAGTGCGAGAACGTGGAGAGCGCCGGGGCTGAAGAGAGCACATCGTCGGAGAATGGGCACACCGGCCCCTGGCACAGGATGGGCCTGGCCGATCATTGGCGGTGGAGGTGTGCACAGACCTCGGGCGAGCGAAAGGCAGTCAAGAGCAGGCCGCCGTCGGGAGCCCGTCAGCGTTCTATATATGCCCCGTCGTCCTTGCCCGAAGGCCTTACAGTGCAGTTTTCAATACATGGGATTTTTCCCCAAACGGAGCTTGCCTCTGTAGGGGTCTTAGCGGATTCATAAGGTTAGGTTAGGTTTGCCGCCGATTTTCGCGGCACGCCCGGGTGCCCGGGTGCCCGGGGGTGCCCTGGCGCCCCGGGGTGCCCGGGGTGCCCGGGGGTGCCCGGGTGCCCGCGGGTGCCCGGGCGTGCCTGGGGGTGCCCTGGTGCCCGTGTGCCCGGGTGCCCTGGTGCCCGGGTGCCTGGGCGTGCCCTGGGGTGCTTGGGGGTGCCCAGGGGCGCCCTATAATTCGCCCTATAGCCCGATAGCCGTATAGCCCTACAACTCTATAGATCTATAGCTCTATAGCCCTATAGCTCAATATTCATCAGGTTAGGTTAGGTTTGCCGCCGATACTCGCTGCACGCACGCCCGGGTGCCCGGGTGCCCGGGTGCCTGGGGGTGCCCGCGGGTGCCCGGGTGCCCAGGTGCCCGGGTGCCCGGGCGTGCCCAAGGGTGCCTCGGGGTGCCCGGGGGTGTTTTATAGCCCTATAGCCCTATAGCCCTATAGCCCTACAACTCTATAGTCCTATAGCTCTATAGCCCTATAGCTCAATAGCTCTATAGCCCCCTAGCCCTATAGCCCTGATTGGGGTTTTTCTCCGGTATCATTAAACAGATGTGATAGTTTAGCACATGATGAATGCATGAATGAGTTTATGCATGAACTCATGGTTGTTTTTAGTACTAAATCCGTGCATGTTTGATACACGATCCGCACGCGGAGCATGTCTTAAAAACGGCCCTGGATTCTTCGTCAGCAGTAGAGCTCTCACGGCTCCCCCACGGTGGCGTGTCATTCGTACCCCGACGCTGTGGTTCTGTTCTCCAAATTGTCTCGACCCCTTCCCCAGGACGAGCTTCTCCTCCAGAGTCGTCCTTCGACGGACCCAGGGCCTGGTAAGGGCCCTCTCGAGGCCGAACATGGCCGAAAGCCTCACGACCACGACCCCCGACCTCTCGAACACTTCCCTGGGACTGGTTTGTCAGTGCGAGTCGTTCATTGACGACGGCCCCCAGGCCCTGGAAAGGGCCCCGAGGGGCCGAAAACTGGAAAACCTCCGTCTCGATTTTTTCGTTGTAGAGGCTCCTAGATGGGTCGGAGTAGATGGGGTCGGAGGATCGCGCCGCATCGCTGATACATCGGCGATGCATCGGTGATGCATCCGCGACGCACCGGCGATGCATCGTCGACGTCGGCGGTGCCTCGGCGACGCAAATCGGGCTCCGCATCGAGCCGCACTGGCCGTGCATCGGCGCTGCGGCGCGACCCTCCGACCCCTCGGGGGCGGCAAAGAGGGGGGTGATGACTAGAGGGGCTGGATATCATGGCGGGGGCCATGATATTTCCCGAGATTTCATGGCGCCTCCTCTTGTTTCATTACGTCCCTGGCCTCCCCGCTGGGCCGCGCACATGCCGCCGGTCATGATTTGCCCCCCCCTCTTGGATACCTCTCTCTTGGCCGCTCCCGAACCTACTCCGCCCACATCTGGGAGGCCTAGAAGTTGGCGCCCTCCGAGAGAGGCCGACGCCGACGAGCAGGCCATCGGCAGCTCCGCAGAGGCCTCCGGCGCCGCTCCTGTCCCCGGCGGCGGCGCCGCGCCCGCCGCCGGCGGCGCCGAGCGCCAGGGCACGGGCGGCGCGGTGGAGGCCGGCGGTCCCGAGGACGCACCGCGGGCATGTGTCCCCCTTGGCTGTTGCTGGGGGCCGTTCCTCGTCATCATCATCATCATCATCATCATCATCATCATCATCATCATCATCATCATCATCATCATCATCATCATCATCATCATCATCACCATCATGATCATCACCATCACCATCACCATCACCATCACCATCATCATCATCATCATCATCATCACCATCATCATCATCATCATCATTCAGAGGACGCGCCCCCCCTTGCTTTCGCAGTCTGCAGAGGGCCAAGCACCCCACCCGCGCAGGGCGATGTGCACCGGCGCGTGTGCTCTGCACGCCGCACCGTGTCGAGTCCGACGTGAAGAAGGGCAATCGGCCTTGTTCGACCGCAACATCACGAACAGCCGCGCCATGATGTGCACCGCGTTGATCCTCACAATCGGGAACAACCAGGGGATGGGTGACGTCGGCTACGACAAGAGCTACGACATCTACGTCCCGCCGCAGCACCTGCGCCTGTTCGACGGGCCTGGCCTGGTGGTCGACACCACCATCAAACCGAACATCTCCCGCGAGACGCTGCAGCAGAACAAGATCTTGCGAGCGAGCAAGAGGAATCTCGTCAAGAAGTGCCTCGAGATGTTTGCGGAGATCGCCGAGAAGAAGGACGACTACAAGAAGTTCCACGAGCAGTTCGGCAAGCGCCTCAAGCTTGGCGTGCACGAAGATTCCACCAACCGCACCAAGGTCGCGGAGTTTATGCGCTACCACACCTCGAAATCTGGAGATAAGATGATCAGCGTGAAGGAGTATGTGGACCGCATGAAGGAGGGGCATAATGACATTAACCACAGTACGGGGGAGAGCATCGCAGCGGTGTCGTCCTCGCCTTTCCTGGAAACGCTGCGCAAGAAGGGTCTCGAGGTCCTCTACATGACCGATCCCATCGATGAGTACTCCGTGCAGCAGCTGAAGGAGTTCGACGGCAAGAAGCTCAAGTCGACGACCAAGGAAGGTTTGGACCTCGAGGACGAGGACGAGAAGAAGAAGTTGGAGGAGCTGAAGGCGGACTTCGAGCCGCTGATGAAGCTGATGAAGGAGGTGCTGGGCGACAAGGTGGAGAAGGTGGTTCTTGTCAGTTCGCGCATGGCGGACTCGCCCTGCGTGTTGACCACGCACGGCCTGCAGCCGAAGCCTTTCGTCGAGGCCTGCTATGGCTTCTGGCAGGACGGCGACTTCATAAAGAACGACGAGCCCCTGAGCAACGTTCTGCCAGATGAACATGAAAGCGCAGGCCCTCCGGCATTACTGCATGCCCTTAACATGGCGTCCAACAAGATTCTCATCTTTGGCTTCCAAAGGGGGCGGGCAAGCTCATGGGCATGGCCTTCCGCGTGCCCACCATCGACGCGTCGGTCGTGGACCTCACCTGTGAGCTGGAGAAGGCGACGACCTACGAGGAGATTTGCGCCAAGATGAAGAGGCGCTCCGAGGGCGACATGAAGGGATACTTGGGCTACTGCGACGAGGCTCTCGTGTCCACCGACTTCGAGACGTGCCCCATCTCCAGCACCTTCGATTCCAAGGCGGGCATCATGCTGGATCCCACGTTCGTGAAGCTCGTGGCCTGGTACGACAACGAGTGGGGCTTTTCGTGCCGTGCCGTTGACCCGATCAAGCACATGGCCAAGGTCGACGGGGCGTAGGATGTAGGATGCGCCGCGTTCTCACTGTGCAGTCGCTGTCCCATCTGTTTTCTCTTATACGGGCCTACGCAGATCGCAGGGCGCATCCACCGCATGCCTGCCCCCTCTTGAGGAGATCGTGGGCGCAGCCAACGAGGCATCGAAGATGCCACGGCCATATTTGCATCTTTTTTACGTTAAATGACTCGGGCACCCGCTCGCCTGCGTGTAATGGGGCTTTGAATTACTTGCGACTCGGATCGGCCACCGCCAGTCTTTCGTAAGCACCCGCTCGCATGCAAGCTAGATACACGGTCTCTGGCTGTGCGTCGAAGCACCCCGAGTGCACTCGCCCCACGCGGGTTCATCGGGACATGACTCTGTTATGCTCTCTGCGACGGACCACCAATTGCAGACTTGGTCCTGATGTCGAGGAACAAACTCATCGTCATCGTCATTGTCATCGTTATTATTATCATCATCATCGTCATCGTCGTCGTCACCATCGTCCTCAGCATCATTAGCATAGTCATAGTCATATTAATATTCATACGCGCCTTCATCATATTCATGTTCACATTTACCAGATTCGCTGTCGCCGTGGTCGCCTCCATCATCATCAGCATCGTCGTCGTCATCGTTATCATCACTAACATCTGCATCGTCAGCGTCAGCAGTAGCAGCATCTCGCTAAAGTTCATCCTATTCTTCATTATCAGCACCATCTTCCGCAGCATATTCGCCGTCGCCGTCGCCTTCATCGGCATCATCATCACCACCATCATCAGCATCTTCGTCGCCACCATCATCACCATCACCATCTGCATCACCATCACCATCCACATCATCATCACCATCAGCATCAGCAGCTTCGTCATGCTCATCATCATCACCATCATCATTTTTTCTTCATCATCATCATTCTCACCATCATCAACATCATCGTCATCGCCATCTTCACCGTCACCATCATCATAACCATGCGTTCGAGTCGTTAGCCCTCCCGTAGGCCCCGGGCGTTCAGAACCTGCGTGCCCGCGTCGTGAAGCGCAATCGCGACGGGAGATTGTTTATACCAAGGTTGCAAGCTTCGCGTTTCTCCCACAAGCTAGGTGCGTTCGCCTTACTGTGGAGCATGTTGCTTAATGCATATGCACACCTCGCTTTCTTTGCGAATTTTTACTGCAGGTGCGTTGCCTGTTGTAGCGAATTAGCCTCGCCTGCTGGCCCAGACGACGCCTTCCGTTCCCTGTCCGCCGCCTCGGAGCCGCTGACCCCCCCCAAAAAAATATATCCCCACAAACCCATCCAGGAGCGATGCCTCGGGGAGCTGCCCTTGTCGGGGGAGCGCGGCATTCCTTTGGATACGCCGGGGAGCCCCTTTGAACTAAAGGCCGTGTGGATGCCTTCCGGAGTCGCTCGGAATTTCGCCTGGTCAGCTCTTGGTGGCTCCTTAGAGCGTCTTGGGGACTTTTTGGGGACTTCTTGGGGGCCGCTTGGGGCTTTGGAGGGGTTTCTTAGGCCCCCTAGGGGCCTCAGAGGGCCTTTTTGGGGCCCTCTTGGGGGCCTTCTTGGGGCCATCTCGGAGGACATCGATCAAAGAATGGAATTTTCGGATTTTCCTCATCAGCGCTGCCTCTCCTGGGCCCCCAAAAGTCACCTTTTGCGGCCTTCTTGGGGCGTTCTTGGGCCACTCTTGGGCGCTTTGGGGGCCGTATTGGGGCCCTCCTGGGCCTTTTTCAGGAGTCCCTCTTAGGCCATCCTGGACCCACATTCTGGGCTCGGAAGGCCATCAGATATGACAATATGAGACGGTGAAACATAGTGTTTCTCCATGGGTGTTGTAGGTATTTGAGCCTATTTGGGGCGTCCCGGGGAGCCCCCAAAGCAACTTTTTCGACCTGTCTTTGAGCGGTGTTTCGACCTCTTGGAGAATGTTGGAAGCCATCTTAAGCGAATTCGCGCTACTTTCAGCCAGAGGCTCATCTTGGGCTATCGGGGGCCCCCGTGGCACCATTTTGGGTGCCAGACCCTGGGAGAGAGGGGAGGGAGGAGAGTGGGAAAGCCCCTCCCTTCCTCCCTCCCTCCCTCCCTCAATCCCCCCAAGGCTGGACCTAAACGGTGTTTTTGGTGATTTTGTGGGCCGTTTTCGTTTCGACCTCGTTTTGCGGTAAAGGCGGCTTCGAGACAAAAGCGAGGGAAGACGAAAACAAAACGAAAACGAAAAACACCGTTTAGGTTCATTCCTGCATCCCTCCCTCTGGAAGCGCCCTAGACCACCTACGCCCTGAAGGGCTGGTGGGATTTTCGGCCTCCGGGGGCCTTCAGTCAGCAGCTGGCCCGTGATGAGAACCTGGCCTTGGGGAAAGGATCGGAACCTTCAGGGACCGCGCATGGAAGAAACCAAGACACTGCATGTTTGGGGAGTTGGAGGAGGCAGTGCCCTAAACCACCTGCGCCGTGAAGGGCTGGTGGGATCTTCGGCCTCCAGGGGCCGTGACCCGGCCGGCCGTCGAAAATTGGCCTGGGATGACAGGTCGGACTCGGGGGGGGAGGGTCTGGACTTCCGGGGACCGCGTATGTCGGGAGGGGGGCAAAAACACACACACAGACACAATGAATGGATCGACGACTCCCAGGAAAAGAAGGGGCAGTGTGGGGAGTTTGGGGGGGGGAGGGAGACGCAGGCCCGGCAAATCTGAGAAAAGATGGGGTGGGGGGTCCTGGGATTTGTTTGTGTTTGTGTGTGTGTGTGTCTGTGTGTGTGTCTGTGTCTGTGTGTGTCTGTGTCTTTGTCTTTGTCTGTGTCTGTGTCTGTGTCTGTGTCTGTGTCTGTGTCTGTGTGTGTGTGTGTGTCTGTGTGTGCGTGTGTGTGCCATGCGTGCGTGTCCGTGTGTGTGTGTGTCCGTGTGTCCGTGTGTGTGTGTGTTGTGTGTGTGTGTGCGTGTGTGTGTGCCATGCGTGCGTGTCCGTATGTGTGTGTGTGTGTGTCTGTGTGTGTGTGTGTCTGTGTGTGTCTGTGTCTGTGTCTGTGTCTGTGTCTGTGTCTGTGTCTGTGTCTGTGTCTGTGTCTGTGTGTCTGTGCACTTCTTTGCGTGTCCCTGGGCCCCTTCCAGCATGGAAGAGTTCGGCCACGCGCAGAGGGGGGAGTGCTCCTCAGAAGCACCCCCTGCTTCTCAGAAGGTGCGGGCCCTGTCTGCAGATGTGAGGCCGGCGCCTTCTGAGAGGCAGCCTCCTTCTAAGAAGCCCTCCCCCCTCTCCCTGCCCCTCTTCAGAGCCCCGAATCATCAGGGGTAACTCGGGTCAGGGATAACTCGGGTTCGCTTTTCGGGA